GGAGGCAGATGTCATTTTTTGCTAAAAGGCGACGTTGTAGTCTCGTGTCCCTCACACCACACACCAGCTGCTCAAGGAGGGAATCATCTAGGTTTGGGAACTCACAATCTATTGCAGTGGCCCTGAGGGAAGCCATGTAAGAATTAATGGACTCCCCTTCCTTCTGGACCCTCTGGTGGAATGTAAATCGCCGGGACATGCGAGAGGGAGCAGGCGCATAGTGTGCCTTTAGTTTGCCCATCAGAGTGGTCCAGGGCACTGTAGAGACAGGTTGAGGAGCCATCAGAGCTTTAACTTTATTCTTTTAAACTTTTGTTTTCCTTAGGCAGACAGAACCTGGTGCAATGGCAAATGTTGCTATGCCCATTACAAAGAGACCCTAATTTTAAAAATCCATATTGATATAAATTGCAAAGTGATTGATTCTTTAAATCCTATTCATTCCACACATTTCTCCCAGATGGCCAATTTGGGGGTCATTTTATATGTAGAATCTCTGCTTCTTATCTATTTTTAGCAGCTACTCTCATTTGCCTCTTTACTTGTCTAAAATCCATTCCAGAAACTTACACTTTCTGACATTTTACTTTTCCAAAAACAGTTCCCATGAGGGTCCCTAAAATGCCGTAGGACAAAAGTGAATTCCCCTGAGCTGAAGCTTGTTTAGAATACCTGGCTTTTACAATGAAACAACCTGCCTTTTCATTAGCAAAATGGTCATTCTTTAACAGACTGAGGTGAAAGGACAGGATAAAATGCCCCATGCTTGGCCCAAAGCAGAATCACAATACTGTATACAGCTCAGGTTACAATAATGCAAGGGGAGTGGGGGGACCAGGAACAATTATCTGGAAAGGTCATTGGCTTCTTTAGCTGGATATGATCAAGCTGAGACTCATTAGACATTTGTTCTGGCTTTCATTGGATTCCAGCCCTGAGCAGGGGGCTTACTCAGTGGCCTAAATAGCCTTTTCCAATTGTACAACTTTAAGATGTTAGGTAAAGGTAAAAGTTCCCCTTGCACATATGTGCTAGTCGTTCCCGACTCTAGGGGGTGGTGCTCATCTCCATTTCAAAGCCGAAGAGCCAGTGCTCTCCGAAGACGTCTCTATGGTCATGTGGCCGGCATGACTAAATGCTAAAGGTGTACGGAATGCTGTTACCTTCCCACCAAAAGTGGTCCCTATTTTTCTACTTGCATTTTTATGTGCTTTCAAACTGCTAAGTTAGCAGAAGCTGGAACAAGTAATGGGAGCTCACCCCGTTACGCGGCACTAGGGATTCGAACCGCTGAACTGCCGACCTTTCAATTGACAAGCGCGAAGCATGGTAGCCACTGAGCCACCGTGTCCCTTTTGTCTTGGATGTCTTGGATATCCACATTAAGGATATATTCTTCTCTGATTTATCATTTTTAGTCAAAGTTTCTATCTCCCGAGTTAGTATAGACAGGCAAATCTTATGGGTAATGACTGTTATGCCCAGGACATCTGAACCCATAGGGACATCGGCATAAGCCAATACTTTAATAGCAATAGTAGTAGTATTTTCTAATCTAGAAACTCTCAATTGCTATATAAGAAACATTTTAAGATTACTATATCTCCAAAACTTCCTGGAGATGTCCATTTCATAGCCTTATTGGTTAGGAATAGACAACATGGATGTCTTATTTGCTTTTAATTAAGGCTGGAACAATCTCTAGGCAGTCTCCCTTTACCATATCCCCCAACCTCTTCCTATTTTCTGGGCCTTTCTAACATCCTCCACTGTCTCAATTCTCTATGATCTCTTTCCATGTTTCAGTTATTTTGTTACTTTCCATCTTCTCTTTCATTCAAAGGAAAAACTGAAGAGGTATGCCCATGTAAGCCTTTTTAAGCTCTCAAAGAATGGCAAAAGGTCAAACAACCGTCTATCTAAATGTCTTCTTTCACAAAATTCAAAATCGGTATTTTAAATTATTCTCAGTTTTCATTCTCTTTCTTCTTTTCTTTCTTTTTGTCTCTCCCCCCCCCATGTGTGAGAGAGAGAGGGGGGGGAGGGAAGGAGGGAAGGAGTGGGACAGAGAGATCTTGCTTTTCTTCTCTCATCTTCATCTCTTCCTTCTCAATATTTGTGAATGATATCTCCTGTCTTCTGGTGCAACTTCCAGAAGATGTTATAGAGTTTGGGACAATGTCACTAAAATTGTTTTTATTAATTTTTATAATGATCCAAAAATAAACTCAGGCTCATTAACCATGATAATTATTTCTAACAGCTACTATGAATATAGCAGAAATGCCTCTAACTGAGGCTCTTTTGCAGACTCTGAATGGCTTGGGGTAGAATGTTCATGCCAGACTTCTGCTTTATTTCAAGGGTTATATTCGCCCTTTGTCTGGAAGGAAAAATAAGCATATATAAACTGAATATATGTTCAGTTTCAATTGAACATTTCCCTTTTAAACTGAATGTACAACTGACTTAAGAAAAACATTTTATAGACTGCCTTTAACAGAAAATGTAAAACATGTATTGCAGGCAAATGCAATGTACATTACTCAGTATGAAGTCATTTTCCATGCTTTATTTCCTACTATAAGCATCATTAAAGGTAACTAAAATGCTGACGTATAATAATTGCACTTAAGCTATTGTAAAGGTTATGTCATATTCCTCTTTTGGCAGCAAACTCAGATCTGAGCAATTTCTCTCAGAAGACCAAATGTCACTCAGAGGACCAATTAAATAACAATCCGGACTGCAGCATTGTTTAGTATAGATTAGAAACAAGTAAACAAACATTGGCAGTATTTCTTCACAATTTAAAATAGGGTAAAATATACACATATATATTGTTTATGAAATATATACAAGGTATACGTTTTTCATTCTTCTTTCCTCTCTATATAAAACACTCATTTTAATTAATATGTCTTTGTTTTCATCGACATGTATTTGAGATTTTTTGTGTGTTTTTGTTTTGTCAATTGTACTGGCCTAATGTGCACTAACTGTAACCAACTTTAATTCAGAAATTAAAGTCCTCGTAGCAAGATGATGAAATATATTTTATACAATCTGAATTTTACTGTCAGATCATAATTGCCTTAGATTGCTTCCAATGTGCTGAATTCAGATCCAGAGATTAAACTGGAAGTTTTCATTCAGTTGAATCTCTATAGACTTTTTAATTCCAATTTAAGAGCCACCTAAAAAGATAGCTGCAAATTTAGGAATCATGTATTGCTAGACACATTAAGCTAGTTACATTCAGTGTTGGTACTCTGACCTATTACCTTCAGAGCCTCAAAAGCAGCAGTGTTCTTTGATTAGTAATGTATGGTCATTCTGCTAACCGTTTTTCCTTTTTTCTTTTTTTTTAGCTTCAAATTTGCATCCATAAAAGTGAAATAGCTCATGAAACTGTATGTATATATTAATTTATTTATTCCATTATTCAGCTGCCTATCTCACAGAATGTAACTCTGGGTGACTTACATTTAGGAACTCCTAGTCAAATGATATGTTTCAATTAATTCTTAAGTGAAAAGAAGCTGACACAACCTGTATCAATTATTTCTGCAAATATGAAAACGTATTATTTAGGTGCCGTTGTTTACAGATTCAGAATTAAAAAACAACAAACATGACAGGTGAGAAACTTGGAAACCTTTAAGCAGGGGTGTCAAACTCACGCTGTCATGGTGGCATCATGTGACATATTGGGACTTTTTTTCCCCTTTGCTAAATCGGGTATAGGCGTGGCCAGCATGTGACGTATTCATCCCGCTTTACAGTAATAAGAAATAACAGTTTCCCAACATTTCCTGTAATCTTTTTACTTTTGGTTCTGGATCATTTTCCCCATCTGCAGAACTTTTTTCCCTATTTGCATAACTTTTCTGACCCAAAAATATTCTTAGGCTTTTCTGTGTGTTTGAGATCTTCCCATAGACGTTCAGCACTGTTCAAATCTAGGGACTATGAAGGCCATTCCATAGTATTTATTTTTTCTTATCTCTAAGCACTTTATTGTTAATTTGGAGGTATGTTTCATATTAGTGCCTTGCTGAAAAAACATTTTGACCAGAGATTGCTATTTTTTTGCATACAGGTATAAAACCAAAGGTTTTTAGATTTTATAATTTTCCTAATAAAGCAGTTCAACAGAGCAATCAGGTGGAGTTTCCTTGCATGTACAGTATATCGTCAAGAAAAAGCTAGAGAGCCATCTGCAAGAATATATGAACCTAGCTTCCTTCATTGATCTGGGAATTGGACTTAATGGCCTAAATAGTCCTTTCAACTCAATGATTCTTGGACAACAGTATAGCTTCACCCTATTGTACTATTCACATTGCAGTCAGCCTTATATAATTTCCAGTATTCTTTTTCTCAGCCATACCATTCCCGCTATTTCTTTTTAACTCATCAGATGTACAGTTGCTCACTCCAAAAATTTGCTCTATCTATCACTGCAGGGGACATAGGAGTCTGCCAGTTGATGAAGAGGGAAAGTTCTATCCTGCATGCTTTTCTCCCTCTCAGGACATCCTAATGCAGATAATTTTCCAAGCCATAATTGCTAATTTCACAAAGTTAAGTGATAAACAGAACAATACAATATCTGCTGCAATTAGAATGTGAGCAAGAGGCACTATTAGTGTTGGAGAAGCAGAAAGTAAAAAAGAAACCATGTGGATTTAGCATCCAAGAAAGTTTTCTGATTGCCTTTCCCATAGTCTCTCTCTCTTTGCCAAACCCAAGTGCAGCTCCTAACAAGTTGCACAGGGCTCGAAAGGAATCTTCAATCTCAAATGGTTAGGTAAACAACATTTACTGGAGACATCATTAAAATCAAAAACAGAGACTTTGGAGCTCCTTCTCATAGCAACAAAACAGAAGAGGGAAAAAAACATGCAGCACAGGAAACATTTTTTTTTTACTATACCTCATTTAGATTTATTAAAAGTAAATTTCCCAATATATGGTATCCATTCTGATGTTCTCACCTTAATCAATGCCTCCAACTCCTGCTGGGATACACAGTTGTTCTCTTGGAGGAATTCTGCTTTATCATTGGCAATTCTGGTTTTCTGACTGCTTTCTTCTGGCTGTTCCAAAGCACGAAACACAAGACCTCCTGTGACCAGATAGGCCACTACCACAAAGAAAATGGCTACCACTGTTTTCCACTTCATGACTGTCTGCAAACCCTGTGAGGGGGTTTCCATAGTGGCAATCACAGTTGCCCGAGGAGATGAAATAGAGAGTCGTGGTGCTGGCTTGGGTATATTAGTCTTATTGGTCACAGGCACACAACCTGAGGGAACAGTTGCCGGCACAATCACTGAAATAGAAAACAAAATTGTTGTGTTAAATTGGTATATGGTATCCTGGCTTTTTCTGTAGCTGAATCACAATAATGGTTCAATAATTTCCCACACTGCCTTATCCAAACCTGAGATGTTTGCTAGCCTAACTAAAGACTGAACATGCCAATTCCTATATATAAAAAATTGATTGTGTCACGAAGTTATAACCTTTTTATATTTTCAGCTACTGCGATATAAACATAGTTATTGCTAATGATAATAGCTTTTCAAGTTCATGGAAAATTCTCCATGTTAATTCCTACACTATATGAAGCAGACTAGGTGGCTTCAGTACCTCCATAATAAATCCTTGGTATGGATAATGCATATGGTCTGGCATTACAGAATTAACAAACATTTTCTGAGGAAACTTTAACTGGATGCAAGATTTTCAAATGGAAATTGGACTAGAGAAACTATACCCGCACACACATACTGTTTCTCTGATTGAAATTCCACCTCCTGGGAAGTGGCAATTAATCACGAAAGATGGGGAGTGACCATAGCTCAAACTGTTTTCCCACAAATTAAGAGACGATTTTCTAATTAACTGTTAGCTGAAAAATAATGCAAAGTGCCAGTATAGCCATGTTGTTTCTATCATAGACTTGGAATAAATGCCCTAGATCTGAATCCAAAATTCTTAACGCTGCCCTGAAGAACTAGTGTGGTACAATAGTTAAAAATAAGCAAAAATATTTGCATGGAGCTGCCCTGTCAAGTTCAGCCTGCCCCAAAGTGAAAATATAGGAGGACTGATATTTTAAGCGCTATGCAAAAAGAATCTTTATAAATACTAGTACTACTGTAGATGGTTCTTCAACTAAAAGTAAATAAGAGATACAACAGCAGAGGTCTACAAAATCTTTTTAACTATTCTGAGTATAAAACAACCCATTTCAAGCTCAAAATCCTTTCAAAATCATCAAAACAGCCCATTCCACACAAAAAACAGCTGTTATGGACCTCCCAATCCCAAAATGAGATGTTTTGAATTTGAAATGACATGAATTTGAAAAAAAATTATATATCCCTATTTAGGTTTATGAGCTTAGTTTTGCCTCTGCCTATTTCTCTATTTTCAGAAAGACTGAAATAACATGCACAGATATAGGGAGGATAACATGATGGGGAATAAGGAGCAACCTAGTTCTCTCGCTGAATGGAGATTCTACTGTTTGTTTCAGTTGGAAAAATGGATTTCATTTTTCCAACTGAAAATGATCCAAATTAATGAAAATTAAAACATTTTTCTCAGTATATTAGGATAGAAACTATGATTATCTACAGTCTTAATAATGATATTCCTTCAGAACTAGGAATAAAACAGTCTCAAAAGTCTAAGTTTAATTTTGTACATGTTAGATCACATTCCTAATCCATGGCAGATTACAGCTCATTCACCAATGATCCTACCTCTCAGTAACTATTCCTCAGTTACTTGTAATAAAAGAAAATAGTACTCATTATTCTTGAATTCCATTTAAGTCTTTGTATCTTGAAAATAAACAGATGAACTCAGCTTTGGTATTTATTTATATACAGGAACAGCAGGCCTGTTTTCCTCATACAGTAGTGATTACTAAGCATATCATGTGAGATGAACTGTGGTAATAACCGATATAAAACAAACGCTTCCAATCAGTAAAAAAAACATTCCAAACAATCTATCTTTATTCACAAAAGTATAAATTATATAACCAATCTTACAACAGGTAAATGAGTTGGACTGAAAGATACTTCCATTGCTAAATTTTGTGGCTTTTTGGAGATATGAAATAAATAATTTAAAACATTATTCAAACATATTACTTAGACTTCACCCATTACTAATAAGTAGTACTCAGTAAAATATCCTGATTGTGTAAGTAATACTATATCAACATTTACAAATTTTGGGCACATCATAGCAAAACCTGAAGTAAGGAACACTTTTTGATCATAGAAAATTGCAACCAACTGTAAGCAACGAGTAGGCCCAATAAGAATGGAAGCAGACAACAAATTCTGCCCTTGGAATCTTCAGGTTGGGCTCTAAAAAGACTTCTACTACTCAGTGTCAACAATATTGAACTAAATGAATTACTCAATCTAAAGCAATTCCCTAGATTCTACATATCAGTAACATCAAGAAGCAGAATCTTCTCCACTGGAGGTTCACTATTGGGTATGCTTGGGTAGATTAGCAAGTAACCAAGTATCTAAATTAAACTGGAGGTCTCGGGAGAGGGCTAACCATCATAAATAGAAAATTCTGTCTCCACAAAGTGCTTATTATAAGATCTACACACAGTTCACATGGGCACAGCTGCATGCCCAAAGAACTTTCTAGAGATGTTATAATGCAGGTGAATGTTTTTCCTATTTTCCAGAATGTATTATTCTGTTATGGTCACTATTTTTTTTTCTTTTTTCTTAGCTTTATGAAGAATATGCCAAGATAATGAAGCATTCCAGACCAAATTTGTCTCCATGGAAAAGAGTTACCACATACACAGTTGTCTTCAATATGAGCCCTGTAGATCAGAGGTGGGTTGCAGCAGGTTCTGACCAAATTGGAAAAACAAAAATGTGTACAGAGGTTGAGGGCTACAAAGTGGGAAATCCTAAGAAATCGATTTGCTGGCCAGTTCTGGAGAAGCTAGGAAGCTGCTTGTCCAATTTGGGATTATTTCTATTGTTAGGGGAAATGTGCTAAATTGGTTAAATGGGGTTACAGCAGAGATGGGTTTCAGCAGGTTCTGACCAGTTCTGGAGAACCGGTAGTGGAAATTTTGAGTAGTTCGGAGAACTGGTAGTAAAAATTCTGACTGGCCCTGCCCCCAACTATTCTCTGCCTCCCGAGTCATAGCTGATAGGGAAGAAATGGGGATATTGCAGTAACCTTCCCCTGGATTGGGGAGGGAATGGAGATTTTACAGTATCCTTCCCCTGCCACACCCACCAAGCCATGTCATGCCCACCAAGCCATGTCATGCCCACCAAGCCACGCCCACAGAACCGGTAGTAAAAATTTTTAAAACCCACCATTGCTGTAGACTGACTGTAGGATCCCAGGAAAGGACTTTTTTATTTTATTAATTTATCTAAATTATTGGCCACCCAATTCCCGTGAACTCATGTTTAAGGAACTTCCAAGGGCTAATACCTAGACACCTATGTGATTCTTTCCTCTTCTAATTCAGATTATTGCATGGCCCTAACCAGCACACAGAACTTGTGCTTTCCACTTTTTCTGAATCCAAAAAATAGATTTTCATTAGCCTCGTTTCTAGAAAATGTTTCTTAAGAATCTGCTTTTCCAGTACAGCTTTCTTTTCCAGTACAGCTTTGGAGTTTGCTTGTTAAGCCTTAGTGAAATAGGTTTTAAGCTCTCTCATTAAACATGGTAACAAATCTCAGTTTATGCAACACACACTTTAAATTGGCAGATTGTCATGCCTCTAAGGAGACTTTGCCAGGTGTTATGCCACAGATGATGACACTGGGGAGAGGTATGTTCCTGTTTGTTTAGAGAGAATGCTGTATTGAAACATTAAGGAGCTAGAAACAAGCCACTTGAAATGTCAGTTTCTGTAGCCTTATCAGGTTAGTTCATTTTAGTTTGGGTGTTTTAGGAATTACTTATCTACATAAAGTAAGTAAAATAATACATTCATAAAAATAATCATATATTAAAACAATAAAAAGCTGCTGCTAAAGACAGAGATATTAAAACTAAAATGTCAGCTGGACTTAAAGGTCATTAAATACTGGTCCCAGTGAAAAATATGGAACTATAACTGATCAGGCCAATTCTGTGGATGGGACACTTTCACGAAAGCCATGCAATACACTAGTGAGTTACAACAACAAAGGTATAATAGAATCAGAATTGTGTGCTAGGGCAATTAAATCCAACCCCCTGTTCAGTGCAGGCCTCTAAGCATCAGGTGACTGCCCAGCTTCTGTTTGAAAATTTCAGCAGCCTCTGGGAACAAAAGGGAGTCAAACCAGCAAGATGGTGAATGCAGCTTTACGATGCCAGCCTGTATGTACATCGGTGCATGGATATACAAAGGAGGTGGGGCCTGCACTGCAAAACTTGCCATCTTGCCCCCATCTTGCACATATATCCAGAAAAGGAGGAATTTATCAGCTCTGTTAATCACTGGTTCCACTGTTAAAATTACTTTTGCGGTTAGGAAGTGTTTTTTGACAAAAAAAAATCCTGTAACTTGACCTTTTTCCATATTATTATTGTTTATTGGTTCGATTTATATGCTGCCCTTTTCAGGAAACTCAGGGCGGCTTACAATGCGTTAAGCAATAGCCTTCATACTTTTGTATATACCTGCTTAGTAGGGCTTTTGGCCCTCCCCTAAGCGGTGTTCTTTTTTATACAAAGTCAGTTTATTGCCCCCACAAACCGGGTCCTCATTTTACCTACCTTCGAAAGGATGGAAGGCTGAGTCAACCTTGAGCCTGATGAGATTTGAACTTGCAATAATTGCAGGCAGCTGGTGTTATCTTAACAGTGCTTTAGTCTGCTGCACCATCTTCTTTATGACACCACACAGGTTTTTACTTTCTTTTAAGTGATATCCCTTCATACACCTCAAAATAGGTCTTATACCTCCCTCTACTGTTTCCACTCAAAGTTAACTATTCTTTTTCTTCAGTCTCCCCACCACTACCAACTTTCCAGCCCCCTGATCACCTGAATTTAAGTTAAACTTGCAATGACCCAACCCATGAGTAGTAACTAGAACTACAACAGTTCTCAAAGTGAGGTCTGATCAAAGCAGACTATGGCAGAAGTATTATTTTCCTTATTTTTGGAAACTATGCATCTATTGATGGAGCCTAAAATTGGTGGCACAATGGTTAGAATGTAATAGCCATTGATTCTGAAAGGTTCAAGGTTGACTCAGACATCATCCTTCCGAGATCAGTAAAATGAGAACCCATGTTGTTGCTGAAACTACTACTGTAG